ACAGAGATCCACCTGCCTCTGCCTCCCAAGTGCCGGGATTAAAGACGTGCACCACCAACGCTTGGCTAGTTTGTGTGTTTTAAAGTCCTGCATTAAACATAGATCTCAATGACTGAAGTTTTGATGCGCCTTTCACTTGGACACTGTCTTAACCTCATTCTTTTGTGCATGACGAAGGAACCCGCCGCCCTCATGTTCTGCCCCTGGGCCCCAGGCACCTGTGAGTTCTTGGGCAGGAAGGTGCCACATCTGGTAGGGGCTGCGGCCAAAACGAGTCCTGGTGAGTACAACCAAGTTGTAGGCAGCCCCGGAGAGGTTCAGCGGCTTGCCTATGGACATGGTCTTCCGGTTCTGAGGCTGGCACGCGCAGGACAACATGTGCACACGCACCAAGTGCTTCACCAGAGCACCAGGCCTGACTTCCAGGCAGCCCTCAGGGACAGCTGGTTGCGGCGTCTGCAGAGCAGAAGATGGCCTGGAGAGCTCAGGACACCAGGGACAGTGCCCTCCCCTGCTCACATCCTCTCCATGGCTCCCCATTACTGGCAGAGACGGGGTCTCAGGTAACCCAGGTTGGCCGAGGATGACCTTAAACTCATTTCCTCCTGAGACCACCTCCCCTGTGCCAGAGTGACAGGTGCTGGTCACCATGCCCAGCCAACCTCCAGAGCTGACCCCAGACCCTGTGGCTTTGGCCACTCCTGCCTCTCATCTGTGTCTCTTTCTCCTCCCCTCCTGCCTCCTACCCAGGCTGGCCCAGTCACCTGGCATTGCATGGTCAGACGCCGCCTTCCACCTTGACCCAGCGGCTCCACCAGGAACTTGACCTCAGGCTGGGGGAAGCGTTCTGTAAAGAGAGCAGAGAAAGGGAAGGGCTGAGCGCTTGAGGCAGCCACTGCCCAGAAAACTGGGAAGGACTGCAGCCAGGGCTGGGAGCCACTCCCTCCCCTCCCATTTTCAGAGCACAAGAGTGAAGCACCTTTGGCCTTCACCTAGAGATGGCACCCTGCTCCAGGCAGGTGGCTTTGTCTCAGAGACCTCACAGACTGACAAAGGAGATAAGCCGAAGCCAGGGTAGGAGGCCATGCAGGCTTCTCTGGTGGCTCTGTTTCTAACCCCTCAGCCTGGTGATGAAACTTGCTGCCTGCCACACCCTTTTCCTTTTGAGAGAGTATTGCTATAGTGCCCAGGCTAACTTCAGAACCGCAGACCTCCTGCCTCAGCTATCCTGGCGTAGGGATGACTGGCATGTACCATCACACTTGGCTCTGTGGACCCTTTCCTAGTGCTTGTAACCCAGGGCCCTCACCAGGTGGAACACACACAGGAGCACTCCAACTACTCCAGGGGCCTCCAGGAGCCCCCGAGGAGAGCTGCCGTCGCCGCCGTATCTGGAGCTCCTGGGCCATGTCCTCTAAAGGGCAGAGGCAGGACTCTGGGTAGAGACAGGACATGGATCATGGTGTCAGTATACTGGGACTGACCAACACTGTGTGCTCTGACTGTCCCTGGGTCCCTCTTTAGCCCCTTCTGCTCATTGCAGGAGGCCCTGCCCCCACCCCTCCACTGTGACCCTGGTTCTTTACGCCTCACTCTGGCTTGCAGAATAGGAATAAACCCATACTGAGCCACAGGACAGGCCACAGGCCCTGCATGTAGCCAGCAGGGGACCCATCAATGCTTACCAGAAATGCTGCCATGAATGTCTTCAGTCATACCTAAGTCAGAGATATCCTGGGGTCCACAGTCACCCTAAAAAGATATTGGGTGTATGACAGGTTTAAACTTTGTGGTCCAGAAATGAGCTGTCGGAGCTTTTCTGTTTCACCCTTGGAGCCTGAATTTCACTGTGCAGCTGATGCCTGCAGTATCCCTCCAGCCTCTGGGGTGAGGGGTGGGTGCTGCCAGGCCCAGCTCCCCTGACCCATTGTTTGTTTATCTGTGAGGAAAATTGAGGTCCAGGTAGGATAATAGAGGGGTGGGCACCATAGGACTGCAGTGGCTGAGGAATGGGTGGGGGAGGGAGGAAGAGAAGGAGAGAGGGAGGGAGCAAAGGAGAAAATTAATCTGAGGGTAACAAGAGGTGGCCCTCACACTGCCTGTGATGCCCGGTGGGTGTGAGCTGACTGGGCTAGGCCTCATGCAGGCTGACTACTCTAGCAAGGGGCTGGACTTCAGGGATCCAGCAAAGAAAGGCAGCCCAGTGCTTGTCAAGGAAGTGTGATGCTGGCAGGATGTCCAGGGAGGGAAATGGGGAGCCACTGGGGGGAGGGGTGCTCAAGCAGGAAGCTCACCATCAGATCCCAGGGCTGTGGAGCAAGCAGGAAGGCAGAACTGCCAGCCCTGGGGATGAAGACTGGGTGACACTGACGGTGCTAAGGTGACCTTGGATCTGGGAAACAGACTCACCAATGTCCAATTAGTTGTGGGCGTCCGGCGCCTGAACTGCACCTCAGCTGGAACCTCTTCGGTAATGTTCCAATCCAGGCGTAACTGCCCGTCTATACGAGACGCTTTGATGTCTCCCAGAGGAGGGTTAAACTTGACTGTCGGGGTGGAGAACATGCCTCTGACTTGAGTGCAATTGTCCAGGTTTGCCCAGCACCACTCATGGGGTCACCTTGATGAGAGTGAGAGCCCCTGTCCACCCAGCTAAGGCTGGCATTCTGTACCCAGAGTTGGGGAACAGGGGTTTTTCCTCAGCTTTTGTTTTTGTTTCTTCAGTCCAGGGACTCTTGTAACTGAGGCTGGCCTTGAACTCATCATGATCCTCCTGCCTCCCAAGAGCAGGCATCACAAGTGTTCACCCACATGACTGATTTATGCTGTGCTGGGATGAAAACTTACGGCTCTCCATGTATGCTAGGCTCATGTCTACCTGTGGACTATGTCCCCAGTCTAACAATTTAAAAAACAGATTGCGTTAGGGGCTGGAGAAATAACTCAGGCATTAAGAGCACCTGAGAGGACCCAGTTTCAGTTCCCAGGACCCCCATGGCAGCCACAGCTGTCTGTAACTCCAGCTCCAGAGGATCTGATGCCTTCTTTTGCCCTCCCTGGGCACCAGACATACAGGCAAAACATACGTATATGTAAAATAAAAATACATAAGTATTAAAGAAAAAAAACGCTGGGGGCATGGTAAGAGGTGGAGTCCCCGTCTAGGATCCCCCCAGTGAGTGGCTGGGGGAGTAGCTCTAGGTAGAACATGGAGAAAACCTTGGTTCTCTCCTCAGTGTGTCCATCCCCTCAAAACAAGCATCTTGCAGGAGAATGTTCCCCCTGACAGATGAACATTTTACTGCCCTGGTTAATTTCCTGCCTCTGGGAGTTCACTCTGCCCGTCTCCATGGAAGGGTGCACAGCCCCACTCACCAGCCCGCCCACATCCGTCCCAGAACCTGCCCACAACCCACATCCTCAGCATGCACACTCAGGACAGGACTCTGTCAAAGACACACTGAGTCATGAAAACACACAGCTCCCAGGAGGGGCTCCCAGGACTGTGGGGAGCAGAGGATCAGGCTTTACCAGAAGAAACCTAAGAGCCCAGTGATAAGCTATTTATTCCCAAGCAGCAAGACTTTCTTGTCACACTGCAATGCCCAGTCCTTCATCCTGGACCTGGGTGACAGAGGGACAGGTAAGAAAGGGAGCTCACTCCACTCAGACAGGTACAGGGATATCTCCAGAGACTTCATGGTCCAGTTGCTGAGCCGAGACTCCACCCAGAATGTGACGGTAGACAGCACAGGGACACCAGCCTGTTCCGAGAACTGCACAGTCCTGGAACGGCCTGCGGGAAAGTAGCAGCAGCGTCCACCACTGAAGCTGCAGGAGGAGGGTTAGTGATGAGTCAGTGGGGCAGATGGGTGGATAGGAGGGTGGGGGCGAGGGAGTGGGTAAGAGAACCACAAAGGTGAGTTTGAGATTAAAGTAAAGGCTAGAAAATGAGCCGGGCATTGTTTAATACCAGTACTCAAGAGGCAGAGGCAGGAGGATCTCTGTGAATTCAAGGCCAGCCTG